TCTCTCTCTCTCTCTCTCTCTCTCTCTCTCTCTCTCTCTCTCTCTCTCTCTCTACTATATTCCCAGCTCTCTTCTTACTTTTTATCTCATTATGTTGGCCAAGATTTGAGTTTACTGTTGCTCAAGCTGGCTGTGAACGTGTTTCCGGCCCCTGCCTCCTCAGCAGCTGGATGACGGGCCCCCCGCACCATTCGGCCTGGCCACCTGGCTGTTGCTGATCTGTCCTAAGGAGGGAAAGTGGGTGGCCCATGAAGGTGAAAACTGTAGGTGCTGAAGGCCCAAACAATCCCCCACTTTGAGGGCAGGAGCATCAGCGCAGCAGTTCTGGGGTTCAAGAGATCTTAGTCTGTTGTCCCTTGGGGGTCATGGACAGCTGTGCTTGGAAGAAGGGTGTAGTGTGGGCATCTGTGGGGATAAGTTGGTCCAAGGCCCCCTCTCACCCTCTCTGGTTCCTTTCCTTAATGCTCCGAGATGAGAGCCACAGACATGGAGGCCATGGGGACACGCACAGTGCTGTATGGCGAAGCCCAGTGAGCCTCCATTAGCTTGGCCTTTACCTGCTAAGCTGCCCTTCTGCTTTGAGCCTTTGCTTGCTGTTTGTAAGACCGAGGCATCCAGCTAGACAAGGTCCTGACAAGCTCCAAAACATTCCTGTTCAGTAATGGGAGCCACTTACGATCTTTTCATCTGCTCTCTGAATTTCTCTGGACGACTGGCTCCTACGTGGAGAGACCACCGTCTCTGGGAGCCCCTCATCAGAGCTTCAGGCCCACCTTTCTGGTGCGGCCTGGGCCTTCACCCCGACCTCCCACTGACTCCTCCAACTCAGCATCGCTCCACCCAGGCTCTCCGGTCTTCCCGCCCGTTTGCCTCCTCTTGGACTCCCATTTACACTCAGTCAGTCAGTCATTGCCTGGGGAGATGCTGGACAGTGTAGAACTCAAACAAGCCAGAACAGATGCTGATCTCAAGTGCAGTAGGCGAAGGCATTTGAGGTTACTACGGGGCAAGACCGAGCCCTGAGAGAGGATCGGTAGGAGCGTGGAGGAGCTCCCCCTCCAGCCTGGAAGCGTGGGAGGTTTCGGGACCGGAGTCAGAGAGGGTGGTGGAGTTGGCCAGAGAGGAGGGAGCAGGGAGCGGCTCCGGGAAGACGGCACAGCCCACCCAGGTATTTCTGAGCAATGTGGCCTTGTGGGACCTGTGAGCAGTGTGGGCCACTGGGCTGACATTTGCTGGAGAAGGGTACACAAGACCGGAACGGTCACGGAGGGCCTGCTGGCCATGCTAGGGGGAAGCTCTTCTCTGGAACATGACTTTGCCCAGGGTTTCAAGCCAACGCTGTAGCCAGATGTATTTTGGCAAAGAACCCAGGCAGTGGCGTGAGTGACAGACTTTGGAGGGAATGGCTACTGGAGGCCTGGAGGAGACAGTGGCAAACCAGGAAGGAAGGCAGAGGCTGAGCCAGGAGAGCGGCAGGCACAGGGACGGAGAAGGGACTCTGGATCAAGGACGCGACGGAGCATGGGCGGTGGGAGGAGACCGGGAGATGCCAGGAGTCTGGCGTGTGGGTGGCTGTGTGCTCTCATGCACATGGGAAACTAGGAGGAGAGAGAGATACAGGATGAGGGCTGGGGGCTTCCTGTTCTGTCAGGGGCACCCCAGCCCTGGGCTTCAAGGGTCCTTTGGGACCTTTGTCTCCTCCCTTCTCCATCTGCCTTAGCTTCATCCAAGTTCTCATGACCTGACTCTCAGTCCGTGTGGCTCTCCATGCAGGTCAGGGCTGTTGGGCCAGCGTAATGTGGCGCTCCAGCTGCCACTGCCTGCTGAAGATTCTGGACATTCCTACCCCTCAGACAGAGTCCTGCCTGGTAGATGGACCTGAGATCCAGGCCTGGATCTCCTGTTATCGAAGCCGTAAGATCCAGCCTCCCCAGCTCCCAGTCACCAAGCTTCTAGAACCAGGCCTCAGGAACAGCAGCACGGGCCCTAAGCACTGTTTCTTTGTTCCTCCGAGAGTGTCCTGGAAGCATCTTGTGTTTCCTCACAGATCCTGTGGCTGGTGAGTTTCTTGTATCAAGCCTGGGATGGGGCCCTGTGGGAGAAGCTCAGTCACCCCAATCCTGAACTCCCTTGGTGCATCTTGGTCACCCCAATCCTGAACTCCCTTGGTGCATCTTGGTCACCCCAATCCTGAATACCCTTGGTGTATCAGACGAGACTTTGAGAGAGCATCCCATAATAGCCCAACTGTAGCTTTAGGCTCAAACCCCACTCCTTACAACTGCTACCGAACTCTCTCTAAAATTCTCTCCTGATGAGGCTCTTTGTGCTGGAAAGATTTCCTGAGAAGAGGCCAGGCCAGGCCCCCAACTCTAATCACAGAGCCGGTTTGAGGACTTGGTGACAAGTCTCCTGGGCTTTGGGCAGCTGCTAGTTACATTCAGAGCAGCTACTGAGGTGCAACTCCCGGGTTCCATCTGGTTTTCAAAGACATCCACAGATACTGCCTCCCCCTCCGTCTAGACGTATGCCCCCTTTCCCCGGACCAATGCTTCAGACCACAGCATCGGAGTCCTGATGCCCCCTCTCACTGCTGACCGGCTTGGCACATGCCACGGGTAAGTCTTCCTCAGTTTTGCAGTCCTGCACGCTGTTCCCTCCCACAGGTTCCTACGAGATGAGGTCCTGAGGTCCACGCTCTGTTCCTACAGTGCCCACACGCTCCGATTCCTCAGGGGGTCACTCGGTACCAAGTTACCAGTCCAGTGTCTTTATTTGCCTCTGTCCTGTTTTGTGTGCAGGCTGCTGTGCAGGGCTCTTCAGATGCACTATTGTACGTCATCCTCACCTCAGCTCTGGGCAGAAATGCTGGCCTGTTTTGCTAGTGAGAGCACTGGGCCACCATACCCTTCCCCAAAGCACGCTGCCCTCCCTTCCAAACTGCCGTATCCTACATCAGTCCACAGTTCCAACTACCCAACACCAGCAACCTCTCTCCAGCACTTTCCCCAGGCACCAGCAGAACTAGGTGGTCTCGTCTGGCCCACCTCTCTCCAAATCAGTTGCCACGTGCCCTCTCCCGAAGCCGTCCTCCCCTCCCACACCTGCGAGTCTAGGGTAAGGCAGTGCTGGACCGACAACCGTTAACCAGCCCAGTGTGACTGTATTTCATTGTTACAAATGTCAAGGATGGCCTGGGTCCCGTTCTTTCACATTTCTTCCTCTCTCTCTCAGTGTGGTCCTCATCTGCTAGGACAGAGATGCAGCCTCCACCTCCTTGGAAACTGCTCAACAGGAAGACTCTGGTCCTCCGCCTCCAGGGGCGGACATGAAGTTACTGCATAAGCATCACAGGGCCTCTGTGTCTCGTTCCACAACATGTCCCCAAATCCTTTCACACTCTAGCTTAGATGGAAGTCAATGGCCCTCCTCTTTACTGTGGCCGGGGAGGAACTGGAATATGGCCAAAGTGAGGTAACTTCTAAGAGTGGGTCAATAAAGGTGTGGCAGGCTCCTCTTTGCTCTCTTTGAGGACAGAAGCTGTTGTGAGTGAAAGAGCCCTAAGGCTTATGAACACTGTCACAGAGCGAGCATGGCTCCCAAGGACTTATAAGCAGTTACACATCCTGAGCACTTACAGGGAGTCAAAGGTTGCTACTGGGAAGAACTCTCGAGGCCCCGCTTTTCCCTGAGGATCCAGTTGTGAAGCGGAAGGGGACCACCGTGAGAGGGAGGGACGAGAGGGGAAGTGAATATGGCCAAAATGCATCACACCCATGTGTGAGGACAGCAGTGTGAGGACAGCAGGGGGCTGGGGTCCCTTGGCTAAAGTCAGGGGTTTGAGCAAGCTAGAAGTGGACCCCAGGTCCCTGCCAGCCTTCACGTGGCCCTAAAACTAGGAGCATCTGGCTAGATCTTTCTGGTCTCTGATCCTTAAGCTGCAAGGCTCTGGAGTAATCTGTTGCACGGCAACAGATTCTAATCCCGACCCCAATCCACAGCTAAGCTTCCACGCTGTTCCTCAAGAGAGGAAGCGACGGGAGCCGAGCACAGAAATGGGAGTTCCCAG